CATTGTATAAAGATCCCAGCTCAGAGCAAAAGTTGATGATGCTCATATATATATATATATATATATATCCTTGAAATGCCAACTTTTGAGGGTAGCATTGTGTAATCGTACCAACGTTAAGATGGTAGTGCCACAGCCACAATGGAGTTAGAGAACAGGACATGTTTTATTTATCTAAAATTCCATCTGTAAATGTCAGGGCTCAGTGTCAGGTCGCCTGAATCAAAGAGCAAGTGTTTCATTCTTCTAATTTATACATGCAGCAAACAAACGGTGAGAAATCTATGCAGGGAAGGAAGGGGTGTTATTTTCTCCACAGACAGTAACCTCAATACACAATGCAATCTGCAGACATTGTGTTTAAAGTTACTTCACTTTTCTCAAATGGAAAATACTTTTGCTGGAGCAGTAGCTGCAATTTCTGTGTTCTTGCAAGACTTTTTGGCACATGTAAAAATGTATTCAGTGAAAGGGAAGAAGTCATGAAATTAAACCATTGTCAGGAAAATCCAGCAATTCAGAATAATCCAAGGAATGCATGAAACATAACAGGCTGATGAAACATGACAGTCTTGAAATGTCTCCACAACTTGAAAGGAATTGTTTTATTCTTTAGTGAATTTAATATGACAAACATCTCAGGGCTATACACTGTACTAATGCGGAGTGGTGAATGCCAGGCTGAGGGCAGCAGCTTACTGCTGGCTACACCTGCAGCATTGTCGTTTTCCAGTCTGTTAATGTTAGAATGACATTAACTGTGATAAAGAGCTCCTGTTTTACTGTGCTGGCTGTACGACCAGTGGATCCGTAGAGATCATTAGAATTTTAAAAAAAAATGTTTTGCAGGTGTGGACTTACATATACAGAAATACAAATGCAGCCATGGTACCATTTTGGCTGCTTGTGCCTGTTTTGGTTATTTTGTGGCTGCAAACAAACACCATGAAATTTGGCATGACACAGCTGTGGTTGTGTTAATGCAGATCACATGTAGCAAAGCAGCCTAATGTCGTCGTATGCCTTTCTCAGGGAACGCTACCAAGGACATTTTCTACGATCACAACTTTTCTGACAAGTTCTCATATTGCTTCGACCTTTTGATCTTAGCCTTTGAGATCAACCATCCCCTAAATATAGAATATTTCTCATTATATTGTGTTTGTATTAAGTTACTCTTTATTATCAGAGCAAATGTCTCACAGAATCCTGAATATTTAACCTTGACTTAAATAAAGACTTTTGGCTCCCAAGCAGAGGTGTTTGCAAGCCCGTTATAATGACCAGTTATCACTGTCCTGCTTCATGTTTGTCTTCATGTCAACCAGCAACAGTGAACACAACAGCTGTGTGTGCAGCTTGCAAGTGTGTCCCAAAGTTTATGGCTGACCAGTTGATCATTCACAGGTCGGCTACACAGGTAAAACTCAGTCACAGCATCACTGAAGCACATATTATGTCTGACGGAGACATGGCTGAATGACATTACACCAGACTGTTCAGTGGAACTAGCCGGGTTTCCCTAGTTCACTAGCAGACAGGAAGAAACAGAGCGATAAAAAGTTGGGAGGAGGGCTCGCTGTCTTTGTGATCTCTAATTGGTGTAACCTTGGACATGTTGTCAAGAAGGCAGAAATCTACACACCTGATATTGAACTGCTGGCCATAGGGTTAAGGCCATACTATCTGCCCCGTGAGTTTACGGCCACTATTGTCGTCACTGTTTACATTCCTCCATCGGCAGTAGCGGCGTACGCCTATGACGTCATCCACTCATCCGTTGCAGACCTGCAGACATGTCATCCCAGGGAAGCTGAAAGCCATCATGGACAACCCGTCTCATCCTCTCTACGCTGAGCTGAGGCAGCTCAGGAGCATCTTCAGCTACAGACTGACCCAGCCCCGTACCTCAAAGCGGTTTGGAGGCTCATTTGTACCATCTGCCATCAGACTTCACAACGCCACAGCTCCCAGTACCTCCAACCCCAGCAGATAAAGACTGGTTTAGAACTCCTACCTACAACGCACAAACCTTTTGCACTATTTATATTTAATTTCCACTTAAGTAGTTTAGTAGTTTTAGTTTAGTTTTAGTTATTTTAGTTTTAGTCAAGTTTAATTTTCGGCTCATATTTTGGACTCCATGTCCTACTTGAACAGCAAATAGTGTATATACTTTGATTTATAGTTTTTATATCTTCTAATATTAATAATATTAGCAATATTTTTACTGTGATATTCTTTGTTTTCTGTTTTTGCGCTGCTTTGCCCTATTGCTGCTGTGTCTATCTATCTATCTATCTATCTATCTATCTATCTATCTATCTATCTATCTATCTATCTATCTATCTATCTATCTATCTATCTATCTATCTAAGGACTGTACCAAGTGAGACTTTGGGAAGGGAGAAGGAGTTATGGGTTTTCTTTTTGTATTCCTTTCTTAGCATTCTTAGTAAAATTAATTCTAGCCTGAATATGATGTTGTAGAGTTATTGTACATCTTAATGCCTTAATGGAAAGACTGATGTTACTAATGTTCTCAATGGCTTTAATTGTGTGTTTAGTTTTAGCAATGTAGTTTGCCCTGGAAGTATTTAAAGCTGTAATTTCTACATTTAGCCTTTTGTCTGTGAGCCAGTAAAAAAAAAACACAGCTCTCATTCCAATTTCTGGACTGTTGTGTTCATTTTGGTTCTCCAAATCTCCCAGAACTGGATGCTAACATCCTGATCAGAAGGGTTTGAAATGCCTACCCTAACACAGTGTCACTTGTTTTAAGTAAACTAGTTGATTTCACGGTCTGTGCTGTTGCTGTGAACCGAGCAGGTTATTATGGTGGTCAAAATGCACACATGCTCACGGATGGTAATGGAGTGTGCAATGTCTGTGGTGTCCTCACCACTGTGTCTGTTTTACTGAACATCCAAACTGTAGCTGCTGGTTAGAGTTAATACTGAAAGAGAAATACATAGTGTTTTTATACATATACAGACTGTTACAAGTGTCCACATTTGGATGCAAATAAGAACACTGCTCCCAGATTGACAACATTGACCATAAGAGTTGTATTTTCATTTGCTGATGCTCATTAATTTCACTTCACAAGATTGCAAATGACATAAAATAAATAAAATGTATATGAATATAATTATTTTTGCAGTTTTTGAGGGTTCCACCTTTGCCTCATTCAGGTATCTGATAGATTAACCCTTGGGTGTTCATCTTTTCCTGGTAATGGTAAAGTTTTTTTTCCTAATTTTGTGCTGGTTATCTCCTCTAGTGTCATTATATCGTACATATTCAATACTATAAAAACATCCCTTTTAGTTTTTGTTTTTTTTTCAACCCCTGTGTTTAAAAACTACATTCACAACTTTGAATCAGAAATGGGCTGTACTTCTGACCACTCAAAGCGCTTTTACCTTACATTCACTCATTTACACAGTGATGGATGACCCATCACAAAAAGTAACTAACATTCATACACACACGCGCATTGCGAGCAATTCGGGTTTCAGTACCTTCCTCAAGGATACTGAAATGCAGCAAGAGGAGCCGGGGAATCGAACCACCACCCTACTGATTAGTGGACAATCCTCCTGAGCTACAGCCACCCCCTTTGAGCTGCTTGGTAACTTCAGTTTCATACTGTTTGCTGCTGAACAGACTCATCGTAGTAAATGGGGGTTAAGCGCATCAGTCAAGGGTAAGTAGAAGGCAGTTAAGGGAGGAGAAAAGAGTGAACCCATTCGGTTATGTCCAGATCTTTCCATCTGGTCTGGACATGAGCCGGAATTTTGTGGCATACTTGGCCGACTCTTTGATATTTTATTCAACTAAAATGACCCTGTTTCCTCATCTATGAAGCTAAGCGATTCAGCCAAGAGGAAGACACACACCAGTGACCACATCCTCTGAGTTGCACCGTGTTAATACAGTTTCTAGATCTAGATCCATGCCTTTTTTAAATTGGAAATCAGCTATAAAATAGCTTAAACAAGTTAATTAATACACACTATACAATTTTCAGTCTTAACACCGTATAAATTTGGTCACTAACATCTTGTTTCCAGTCAGTCTCCCTGTCTGTGTCCTTGACTCCGACTCATATGCCTGTCTATTTTTTTCTGTTCATCTCATTCAAGGACTGCCCTTACTCCTTCAATCAGATGCTATTGTGCCATTAGTGAGGCTGCACAAACACACACACATACACACACAGACATCTTGATTGACCGACAAGGTGAGGAAAATTTTCCATCATCACCTCTTCCTTCTTTCAGCTCTTCTTTTTAAACCTGTCCTACATTTGCCCTCTCGCTCATATTCTGTTGCATTTTGTGTGCTCGTTTTATTTATTTTCAGTCTGCTTGTCCAATTCAGGGCCACTGGAGCCTATCCCAGCACACGAAAAAAGGTGATGGATATTATAGAGTCAGGAGAACATGCTGAAAGTCCTCAGATTGTCAGTGGGTTTAAACTAAAGACTCTTTCGCTTGTGCTACCCAATGAGCAAATTGTTTCACCTTTCCAGTTACAGCTGTTTAAAATAATTTCTTTTTCATTTTATAGGGCAAGCATGTGTTTATGTAAGTGTCTTTTTTCATGCGTACACTGTAAATATTGGTAATGGGTCATGCATTTGCATATTTCTTTGTACATGTATATATATAGTACACATGTTCTGTATATTTTTGATTTGTTAAGAGAGTAGGGACTGATTTAAACTCAAACTTTTCAGTTATGGTTCTGAAAGAAAGAAAGAAAGAAAGAAAGAAAGAAAGAAAGAAAGAAAGAAAGAAAGAAAGAAAGAAAGAAAGAAAGAAAGAAAGAAAGTTTAAGGAAATTAAATTAATAGTTGCTTAATGGAACAGTTGCTAGGAAACAGTTTGGACCCATATGTTTATATTTGAAACTATGAAAAGGTCTAATATCAGTCTTTTGATCTTAAACATTTTGCTGTTGCTGGAGACGTGTGAAGACCTTCAGACTGTAACATGTACGGCCCTCCAGTGGATCTCTCATTCAAAGACATCAGCCATGTTACAGGTCATGTGACTCAAATTCCTCTGTTTTACACTCTGTCTGAGCTTATTAACTTAGAGTAACTGACATTATGCTGTCTATTAGTGCTGCAAATTAGTCAAACTATTGTCAAAGTTGAAATATGACCACGTGCAATATCTAAATCGCAAGATGCTAAAATTTTGTTCTCCAGATGTAAAAAACAACATATATTTGTTTGGTACAGACCCCAACATTTACTCAACTTAAGTTACTGCAACTAATCGTGAATCATATTGCAATATCTGTCAAAATAATCGCAATATGATTTTTCCATACTGTGCAGCCCTAGTATCTTGTGGTAATCCTGTAATATTTCTACAGGTCTCTTGGAGACTTAGCTTGTCTGTAAGTATGCTAACATTTATCATAGGATTACGATACCATGGAAAGACGTAGCCCGTTTGCATTTCTAGCTAATGAAGACATTAGACAAACAGTGTTTTTGACTTGTCGTTTGAGATTTCAAGTGTGATAAATGTGTTGATGGATACCTTATGTACTGTATTGTCCAGGTGGTGGTGTACTAGACACAGTGTTAACTGAATAGTACACCCTGTAGAGTTCAAGTTGATCCCTCATGTCTCCGTTGTTAACAGACCATACACACCTTCTGACTGCAATGCATCACCTGAAATAAACAGGTTTAGCAGCATTAAATGCATATATTCAAGAAACAATTGCCGGTTCTTAAGTTTTCACTGTAATTGCTTTATATGTGGTTAAGGTTCTCTGTCAGAGGTACCCCGAAGTGGCCTGCGGCCTTTAAAGACAAACTCGAAGAGGAAGTACCTGAGCCGCGCTTTGCGTCTCAGTAACAACAACATCCCTGACCTCGTTGGCCTCCAGTACACCCTCAGCCACTTTCTGGCTCAGCCATTGAAGCTCGGCTGGCTCGACCTGTCCTGCAACAAAATCACATGCATAGACCCAGTGAGACATTTCTCTTCTCTCATATTTTTGCATGTTTGCGCTCTCTATTTATTGTTGTATTTTCTCTCCTAAGGATGCTTTAATTTCTTTGCAAATTATCTATACTCTTCTACCAGTGTTATTCCTAAATTACTTACCTGGCTTGAATTCATCATCAGTTGTTACCTGCCAGTATTCTTTATGCATCTACATGTTGTTGGATTTGCAACTTGTGTGTGTTTGTTCCAGGTTTTGTGCGAGCTGCGTGAACTACGTGTGTTGTACCTTCATGGCAACAGCATCTGGAACCTGTCAGAGGTAGACAAGCTGGGAGAGCTGCAGTGTCTACACACCATCACGCTGCATGGAAATGCCATAGAACTCCACAAAATCTACAGGTGGAGACTTCCTTTTTTTTTCAATTTACATAGATTTTCCTCCCAAACTGACTTTGGAGCTGTTCAGATGTTACGTCTTTTGCACACGCAAATACATTATGAGTGAGCTCAAAAATGAAAGCGATGCTTTTGCGGCATCTGTTGCCTGTCTATTTCTGGGCACATCCATGGCACCCTGAGATGAAAAAATCTCACCTCCACAGGACTTCTGTGCAAGTTCGTAACATCCAGTTGAAAGGTTAACCAAACTGAGAAAGCTTTTTTCTCTCTCCGCCCAAATCAAGCAGTAAAGCTACAGCTGGTAGTCAATGTATCTTTTTGACTTTTAAATTGTTAAGTCAGTAAGACTTATACTTATGTTAAAGTGGAGCCTACATTTAGGTAGTCCAGTGGTTCCCAAACACAAATCTTTATTCTTTTTTTTCTTTTTTTTCTGCAGTGGTGAGCAGTATATTATACATCTATATTGATCTAAAAATACACTTACTCCCGTAAAACAATTACTGAAGTAAAGGTGAAAATTACCTTTTGAGAAAACTAAGTAAAAAGTACAAGTTACTTTCCATTTTTATATTTTTTTTTTTATAGTGTTCGGGCCAGTGGAAAATAAAGAAAAAAAAAAGTGAATGTCATTATCACATGAAAGATTAACATTACCCACAGCTTACATAGCTAACATTAGCTTGCAAACTACATTTTTATATACAACCTGTATATATATATATATATATATATATATATAATATGCTTGCAGAGGTTAGAAGAGAAGTATTTTCTGGAGCCAGAGCAAACACTTTATGTAACCGTGGTCTTTTGGGTATAAAACGTGGCCAGATGTGGCCAGGGGATTGTTGCTGGAAGCTGCCTCTTGTTCTGGGTTTTGTTCTGTCATCATCGCATCATTGTGAATTATTATTTCTTCCAGGCAGCTGCAACTTGGCATCTGCATTAGCGGTGCTCCTCACATACTCTTCCCCTACATTCAATCCCTGCTAGAGCAGAGTTGTAACAAAGATATAAATGCAAATTTAGTAAAAAGGGTACTTGTTTCTTAAAAAAAAAAAACTTTTTTACTCACAACTAGTAACTAACCACGCCTGCTTTCCTCTTTTCTACTCTTGCTTTGAATTGAAACATCAGTTTTAAATCATTGTGCGTTAAACAGTCATTTTAATGAAACCATCTGAGAGGTTTAGAAATGTTTTTTGTGTAAATGCTAACAAACCATACAAATATGACAAGGAGCCTTCTAAGAGGTCACAATCTAAGAAGGGTAGTATAATCTTAATTCATCATATGTTTTTAATGTAAAATATTAATCTGAAATATAATTAGTAACTAGATGATATTTTAATAGGTACTTAAATGGAGATAAAGCTCATATTACAGTATATATCCTGTTTCCATCTGCATAACAGACACACACACACACACACACACACACACACACACACACACACACACACACACGGATGGAAGGTGACCTTCATTGGTTAGATTTCTCATGCATTCAGATTCTTGATTTAATTTTCATCTCATTTCATACTATCATTTGTGTGAAATACCAAGATAGTACAGACAAGGTCTACTTTGCATAGACTGAAAGATATGTTATTGAGATTAGATTAATTACATACGGACATTATATCCATGGAGCCCCTGGTTTTAGAGCTAATTTAGTTTGTGCGAATATGTGTTTGTGTGTTCAGGAATCATGTGATTGCTGCCCTGCCTCAGTTGAAGACGATGGATTTCAGTGCTGTGACACGTGCGGAGCAAGTCTTGGCCAACGTTTGGTACACTGACGTCAAACGTGGCAGAAACACCAAGGAGAGTCTCCAGTGACTGTTACCAGTTTATAAAGTCATTCATTTGATTAATCGATTTCAACTCATTGTCAAAACTACTTCGAAATTAAATGTTTTCTTTCCCTAAAATTGAGTCCATTGGCTTTGTGAAGAGCCAGCTGCCAACCAAATATACTCTCACTCTGGCTGGCTGGCTTCTTTTGGAGTTAGTGTGAATAAATTACAATACAAAAGTTATAAATAAGAGTGATATCAGTATTTCTTGACCATAGAAAGTGTAGGTTTAGTCACATACATACTTGAGTTACAGTTGCAAAATAATCATTTTGTGTGTTCAACTGGTTGTCAAATATAAGAATGTTCACTTGTTTAACTTTAAACTTTATTTACAGATCATAGATTGTGCCTTAAATCTGAGCCAAACGATCTGCTAGTTTGATTTGGTTTAAATTATTTTTACCTCAGCACCTTTTTCAGTGTGAACAATGTTTTGTTTATGTCTGCACTTTAGGAGTTCTAATGATGTGGCAACAAGAGTACAATTATAGGTCACCTGAACTGAATCTGAAATATAAAGGCTATGTACTTAGCTAAGTTGTGAATTGAGGATGAGTTTGGCATCAGTGTAGGACCATCAGAACCCAATGTCCATGCACACACACACACACACACACACACACACACACACAGACACACACACACACACACACACACACACACACACACATACACAAAATATATGAATGTGATACGTTCAGTTTACATTGTAAACAGCTTTGGGTCTCTGCTATTACCGTCTGGTCTTGTTAGTGAAGAAATGTGGACCATAAATCAGCCCTGAGGCTGATTTAACTGGCTGTCTTCCAGGCTTTATTTGGTGCAGAATCGTGTATCAGTGATTCCCCCTGCAAAATCTTTAATTGGTGGGATGGAAATGCCCCTGAATCAGCATTTAGACCATGTGACACAAAAGCTGACTGCTGAAACCAATACTAATGAAATTGTTTGAAACTGAATTTAGACCTTGTGGGACTAAACACTGAAATTGATACTTGTGCAAAGTAATTCTCTATGACATTATTTAGACCTCAGTTTCCTTTGAAACCTTTACTAATGTGGTTCTTTTGAAACATCACTTAGGCTGTGTATTTCAAACTGTGCAGTGAGGCACATATCAATGAATATCTTTCAGTCAGGATGGCAGCTGCTCTCAGCAGGAAGGCCCACTTTGACTGTAAAGTGCTTGAGGAAACACTTGCATGTATTTTACAGATTTTGCCTGCTGATTAGCTACCATACATAGATGTCACTTTTATTGTTGGTATTTTAGATGTGCTTCTCTATTTCCTATGTTGAAGGCCACAGTGAAGAATCAAGTTGGCTAAATTGTAATGTAGCAGCAATTTGAACCAGTTTTCAACGTTCTTAATGGATAGACATAACATTGTTATCCTGCTGTTTAAAACTGAAATGCTTTTTTCTAAATGTTCTACATGTATTTCTTTTCATTTCAGTATTCACCAATGACATTCTAAAGGTCAATGCAGCCTCTTGCTTACAGTTAGTTTGAGGGCCAACGTCCACAGTAGTGTAGTTAAATCTGTATTGTTTGGGCTAACTTTTCTCCAGAGAAGAGAGCCAGCTCTCGGCTAAAGTTAGCATCAGCTTACTTTGTTTGGATAAAGACCCAAATGAATTAGGTATTTATAGCCCTGTGATATACAGGCTGAAAATATGTCCAAAAGGCCAATACAGTTTGTGCTTACACACAACAAATTAGTTTGGGGCTAGCATCCACATTAGTGTTGTTAAATCTGTGTTGTCTGGGTTAACTCTTTTCTAAAGGAGAAGAGGGCCAGCTCTTGGCTAAAGTAAAAGTTATCTTACTTAAGAATGTGTTACCTTTTTGTTTTATTAGGGATAAAGACCCAACTGTATACAGTATTTATAACCCTGCGATATACAGCCTGAAAAGTGTCCCAAAGTTTGGTGAGGCATTTTTAATAGTTAGCCCGAGGCTAACATCTATAGTAGTGTTGTTAAATCTGTATTGTTTGGGCTAACTTTTCTCCAGAGGAGAAGAGAGGCAGCCCTTGGCCAAAGTAAGGCTTATTTAAGAATCTGTTGCCTTTTTGTTTTATCATGGATAAAGACCAAGTTGACCTTCTGTGAATTGAAGTGTAGTCGTTTTTAAGTGGAAAGCACTTAAAATCACTCTTGAGTATCAACAGGATTTGCAGTCTCTGGTTGACCATCCAGCCACTGAAAGACCATGGCAGTGGTTAAAGCCTCACTTGATTTCAGTTATTATTATTATCATTTCTTGTATTTCATCATACTGTATGTACAATTTCTAGAATTTTGAACTGACTGATTATGGCAAATGTAGCCAATTTGTAGATCTGTCAGTAAGTGTAATACTAAAAAAAAAGAGTGTGAATGAAGCATTTAGCACTAAGTGTTCAGCTGAAATGCCTGACAGCTGGAGTACCTTTCGATTATAAGTTTCTAATTTATAGTTTCCTTTTTTACAAATAAGTTTAATAGTAGTAATTCCACCAATTCCTAAGTTATTTGCAGTGCCATGAAGTTAAACTAATGTCACTGGGACTCAAAAGCTGATACTTTAAAGAATATTATTCACTAGAAAGCTTTGGGATATTAAAAATGGAGCTGAGATTCTGCTCATTTTGTTTTTCATTTATTTTAATTATAATACTCAATTAGTTTCAGAGGAATGGAAAACAACTCAGTTGCTAATAGCACAACCACTGGGGTGTTTGCAAAGTTCTATCAGAGCTCTTATATCTGGTTAAAATTGTTGATCATTTTAGATATTTTGTGGACACAGGTGATTCCTTACTTCTGTTTTGCAGCATCATTATATCACTTTATTGATTACACTTCACTGAGTTGTTACACTGATATAAAAAATTTTGTCAACAACCTATTACAAATAGCAATAAAGTTATGTTATTTTACTGTAACACTGTCACACTGCAGCCATAGGATGGATGGATAGACAAAAGTAAGATGCTCTTCTTAAAGATAAATAGGAAATAAAGCTGTTAAGCAGTTGAGCTTAAAAACAAAATTCTGTATTTTTAAATCCTATTTTACTTTTGTAGATTTGTCCATTATTATTCATATCCATTCAGATTTGACAATGATTTACTGCAGTACAATATAAACTCAAATTGAGTAGTAATAACAGTGATTCCCATTCAAGGGTTAGCAGGGGCAACATTAAAACATTGTGGAAAAATTAAACTAAACTAAATAGTTAGCTAAAAGTACTAGATATATGGTCGAAATAGCCATAAGTCATGGATAATAGGTAACAAAATGAGCTATAACTAGCTGAAACCTCCAGCTTGTGCCACAAGTACAAATGCCAAAACACTGACAGTTTAACTGTATGACAAATATTCTGATAATACCCATTTTTACAATAGTGTTTTAGTTTAAAATTAATTCAAATTAACACATTTGGAACATAACTTGTGCTGTTGATGATGGCACACTTGAGTTCGTCTCTGTGACTGTGGGGGAACGTCTGAAAAAAGTTTGGGAACCACTGTAGTAATTAATCTTTATCTTAGTCATATTTCTAATCTCATAACTTTTAATAAACAGCTGTGCCAATCACAATCTTCCATGATGAAAATGACTCATTAAATTGAGTAGAGAGAGTGCAGACTGACTTAACTAAGTAGAAAAATATTGTTATCCTGAAGGTGCAGAGTGCGGATGTGCAAATATACTGCACCACAAATATATAGCCAAAGGCACACAATGTGTTTGTCAACTGAATTATGATTAAAATATTAAGACACCTGAATCAACTATTTACCAGTGGTGCAAATCCCATTCAAAAGGAGGATGGTGTGAGCACACAGGTCCTGGTGGTGACTGTGTGGTGGGACTTTTTTGGCCAGATCTCAAGGTGCAACTGCACTACTAAGGTTAAAAATGCATTATTCGTATGTGTGTAGCAGCTGGCATAAGCCATAGCCAATCAAGTTACCTTTTTTCCTTTCTTTTCAAAACAACACAGTGTGTGCCATGGCAGTATGACAGTATGACACTTTTATGGTGGAAAGAAGAGCCCAGAACAGATCTGCCAAAAAAAAATGATGTCCTTGTGCTGCAGTTGCAAAAATAGCTACAAACAAATACATAGCACATTCAATTAAATTAAACATGTGGTCTTCCTTTCCAAGAGGAACCCATTGCCCAATGTGGGGAGTAGTTCAATGATATCAAGTAAAGTGTCACGCAGGAGTTGCATCCACCAGTCAGTCTCTGTTATGTAAAAAGCATGTGGAGTGGCCATTCACTGTGTGGTCACTCTCAACACAGTCACACATGGATATTGTCAGAGGAAAAGAAGTCGTCTTTGCTCCTTCCTGAGGGAAATATCAAAGTCAAAGCTATCATCGATGAAAGGACAGAGCAGACCTGCACCTCGAACCACGTGGCTTTGATGTGGTCTGAGCAGACAGGCGACATGCACAAATCCCAGTAATCCTCGACACTAAAACTGTACTGCACTGCTTGATCATCACCGACACACCCCCTACTGTGCCTCTCCTCCCACTAGGTACAGTTGTTCTCTGCTCCCTTCAGGAGATATGACATCACTACAGGACACAGACACTGTTTATATGGGATTCTGCTTGTCAAGACTGAAAGCTCAAGCTACATCGGGCAGTTATATTTTCAGGTTTGGGAGGGAATCCAGCTTGAGACTCATAAAGGACAGAGTCCAGAGAGTGTTATTTTATGGGCCCAGATGTGTTGAATAAATCATTTTCTCCCAGACCTAATTAAACACTTACTGCCTAGCCCTGTTAAGCTATTAACATCTGCTCTACCAAATGAACTAGGAAGGTCTCCAGCACTGGGTGGATTCAGCGATGGCAGGCACAGTAAATATAATGTTCTCTTTCATGTTGTTCTTGCTTTTTTTTTCCATTTTCCCTCCTTGTCTTTCTTATTTACTGTGTTTAAATCTTGCTTTTTTTATTTGCAGTC